CCCGAGCCAAAACCCTCACCAGCACCAGAACCAATAATCGGTCTGCCTCGAAGAGTCACCATACTGAAAATAAATCATACAAACCATCATAACATGCATAAATATATATCGAGGAGTCTCACACTCTACAAGATTCCTGGTTTCATCGCAGCTCTCCTTGACTCGAGTACGGATCCTCTGCTTCAAGTAGTACGAGCCCATACTAACTTCCACATCTATCCGTACTTTCCTCAAGGATTGCTTTGAACCCTCCAAGTCACTCCTTATCCACATATAAAATCCTCAACAAGACAAGGCTCCCAACATTAAATCTCTTCATAGGTTTTCCTAGGGCAACCACCACACTACTCCCCGATATCAGCTGCAGAATGAACTCTCCCTAACATCTTCTAACTAGATCACAAATATAATCACATATCGCCGACACTATATAATTCTTCGAATGAAAGGACTCACACTACAACGGTTGGACTCAAACAAGAGCTGCACAATAGACTTAAAACCTACCCTTCTAAAATTATTTAGTCTCAACAATATGTAACTTAGTATATTCGCTTACTAGTTAGTTGAAGCTAATGGGAACTCCTAAAATTAAAAAGCAAGCAACATTCGAGCATCGAGTAATCGGAATAAGCATAACCCTAACATGTCATCCTATCACTAATTGATCAATACTAGCATGCAAGTCTACAAGCTCATACAGTTGGCATGTAAAGGCATCTCTCCTAGCATTCTATCATGTAAATCTTGAGCAGATCCTTAGCCCTAACTATCATGCGATTTACATATTCACACATCAAAGCATATCATAAAACATGTATGAGTATTTGGGAAAACTTACTTGAGCTCAGTTGATTACATGCACCACACCCTTTCTCTTTTATTAGAAAACCCTTTTTATAAAACATTTATTTTTGAAAAAATTCTACCAAACCATCAGTTTGAGTTCAGACACACTGGAGAGTATGCCTGAATCCCTCAAACTAAGGCTCTAATACCAACTTGTAACACCCGCAAAAAATAAGACTAAAAATTTTGATTTTTAAATTAATAAAACCATTATCCAAAACAACATCATAGAAATCATGGTGAATCAAAGTATCCATAAACATCCAAGTACATCAGAGTAATATAAAATGCAGAACAATGTGGTAGCACTGCAATCATCCCGAGCTCTTCCCCTTCGAACCAGAAGTACCTGAAACATAAACTAAAAACTGTAAGCACAAAGCTTAGTGAGTTCCCCAAAATACCATATATCATACATATCAAACATAAAATGGGCTCCGCCCGTCATCGGGCCCCACCCGACATCGAGCCTCACTTGGAACAGATCTGTCGGTCATCAGGCCCCGCCCGGTAATCTGGTATACATACAAACATATAAAAACATGCATAAAAAATCACAAAGATAAATAGCATACAATATAATCATTAGGCCCCGCCTGGTAAGCATATAAACACATAACACATGCAAGAGTCATGTAGACAACTAGCATCCTACACATAATAAACCATGGGCCGGCATTGGTGTCTTCGACCCGCTAAAAACAGGGAGGAAACTCACCTAAAGCTGCAAAATCTCAGTATGTTGGTCCGGAAAATCCCCCACGCTAACATCATCAAATAATATTCAATTAATGATTAGATCTCGACCCATAATCAAGAATCTAAGTTACTTGTCCAATATCCAGGGTAAAAGACCATTTTACCCATTTCTTACTTGGCCCATAACCAAGGTCTAACCCATTTGCTCAAAAGGCCCAAATTCCTAAATGGCGTCCCAAGGCCTAATAAGGCCCAACTTCCAAATTGGGCCCAAAAATCATCATGGACCTAATCCCAAGAAAGTTCATAGTCTATCCATGGCTCAAAGTCAAAAGTTCAATGTCCCAACGAGGGCCAATCCCTAAAAGCCCAAAATATGGCCCAAAACTGAGGAAGTCAACCCAAAAGTCAAACAGATGAGTACGCTGGGCGTACTCAGACTTACAGTTAGCGTACTCTATCCAGGGCCAGTACGCTCAGCGTACGAGCCGAGAATGCCTCGTGTACTCCGCAGACAGCCAACCCAACTCATTAAGCACTTATTCAGTTATGCCAACATGCCAAACTTCCAGATCTGATTCTAGAAGGTGACTTAACATGTAAAGTTGGCAACTTTACACCCATGCATGACTTAATAAGACCCAAAACTCAAAAGGAACCATAACGAAGAACCCAAATCATGCATGGACCAAAATAACTCACAAAGGTCGCATTTTTATGGACAAGGGGCCTCATTTGAGTTAAGATCTAACCACCATGGCTTCTGGAGTAGACTATAAACTCAACTTTAGCTCAAAAGACCCAAAAATGCAAAAATAACACCCTAAGTTAGATATAGCATTAAGAATCATGAAGATGGGAGCTTTTTTTTACCTCAAATGACTTGCTAAGATGATGATGACTCTGGATCTACATGCTCAAGCTACTCCCAAGCAACCTCCAAGTGTTCTTCTTCTTCTACTTCACCAAAAACACCACCAAAACACATTTTCAAGCTCAAAACTCACAAATGATACTTAAGGTTTCGTTTTTAGGGTAGAGAGTGATGGAGGTTGATCAATAGAATGTCCAAGGGTGATATAAGTTGCTTAAATATGGCACAAACCCTAAAACTTAAGGTTTGTCCCTGCTTTGCGTACGCCCAACGTACGTGGGTACATGCGCGATCGAGAAACGGGCTAGTACGCTAAGCGTACTCATAAAGTACACCGCGCGTACTAGCTAGGGACTATAATGAGATAATTTTTGCATTAACAGGGGTTAAAAGAAACATACCAAATTCTCGAATGTTACAATCTATGCTTTTTGGAGCAAAAGTATGATCAATAATAAAAGCCTCATGCATGGTTTTAAGGTTAAAACAGTACCCACAAGTCATTAACCACTTAAGCATTCATGCACCTAGAGTTACATGTCCCCCATGCTCTTAAGACATGTTATGCTTTTGATTAAACAAATCAAAAGACCATGCATACACTTTCACTCTCAATCTACGACATTCAGAAGAAAAAAAAAATACAAACTTTACAAGTTTTATAAATTAGTTTATAAAATATAATCATTAACTTTTTGGTAAAAGACAAATAAGTCTTTCAGGTATAAAATATTGTACATGACTTAATAAATCATATATATATATATATATATATATATATATATATATATATATATATATATATATATATATATATATATATATATATATGTTACTTGCCATTGAAAGTTATTATTTTAATAAAATAAATAATTTCCAATTAATTATAAGAGTTTATAAATATTTATTAAAATCAATCTTTAATAAATAATCGATTGTATCAAGTTGTTGTTAGTGTGACCATTTATGATCATATGTTAATTAACAATATCATTTTAATATGACTCTTAAGCATACACGATCTTTCAATGTCATTTTTAAGGGTGGATTAAATTGATAAAATTTGAAATAAAAAATAAAAAAAGGAATAACATAACCTTCATACACTTTCTCCTCTCTCCCCTCGGCACTAAAATACCAATTGATCCATGTTTGCTCGACATGCCACCTTCAAGGGACCGAGTATGCCATGGTTGTTGAGTAGATGTCAGACATATGTCGGTTCCACTCCGTCCGATCTAAATGAGCAACTCAAGCAAATAAAATAAATGGTACTAGCTTTAGAAAAGAATAACACAAGTAAGAACTATATTTGCAAAATACCCACGCATGATAAAAGAACAAATATGGTACAACACAATGTTATGATGAAATTAAAACGAATTATGAATTGTTGGTACACACTTATCTGAAAAAGTTAATTATATTTATTTTTGGGAAATTCAAAATGGTCTAAAAGAACACGTAAACATTTAAAGCAAACGCCTTAAAAAATAATACAAATAAAAGGAATATATATAATTAAAATGTTTATTAATTTATTACCGTTTAATGCCATGAACAAATAATTTTTAAACTATTAAAATAAGAAATCAGTACTTATTTAAATAATAAGTTTTTCACATGTCAAATTTTATCCAACTTATATAAACAACTTATACCTTATCTTTTTTTTTTTAACAATATATATATATATATAATATATATATATATATATATATATATATATATATATATATATATATATATATATTAAAACGAGTTAGCAAGATGTTAGTGAAAATTAAATGATACAAGAAAAGATAAGAGAATTACATCAATCAAACCAACATAAGAAATTAAATCTAGCTTTATATTTGATCCAATTATAAAAGAAAGTTGAATGTCACTTGGCGTCCTTATAAGATTGCTCTTTCGATTTTTGAAAAGAAGTTTATTACTAGCAATCCACAAAACCACAACACCGAGTAAGATAAAGCCAAAACCAATTTATACTTCTTGTTTACGCCCATACTTATATCTTATCTAAACCAAATTATCATACTAACCTTATCATAATCCTATATTTTTTAATACATATATGATATATCAATTATGTTTTTCTTTGTTACTTTACATATATAAACAGCAATTACCAAACACTACAAAATAACTTGTAATTTTATTATGTTTTGGTACTAGATAAACTAATCTGATAATTTTTTTAAATTTCATTTTGATACCAAATAAATTGATAAAAACTTTTACAAATAAACATAATAAACCGAATAAACCAAAAGACTCTTGCCTTAGCGGTACAACGAATTGAGGGAATGAGTGTTTCTCAACCAAATATTAAGAATTTAAGTTTTATAGTGTATTAAAATATAAATTAAAAGAAAATAGATGAGTATGTAAATCATTCTGTAAAATAAATAAAATAAAAATAAAACATAACCTGAATAAGCAATTCAAACACTCTTGAATAAAGTATATGAATATATGTCTTATAAGATATAGAAATTTAATGAAAAAGTGACACGACACTAATTTAAAGAAAATGAAAAACCATTGAAGGGTTTGCATCTAAAGAGACGAAAGGGGTGGTGTGCTCAAGGAATTAATTTGGAGTGGTCTAACTCTCTAACCTATTAAAAGACAAAAAAGTCGCACTTTTTTTTGCTGCCTTTCTTTGGGAATCTCCTCATCAAAACAGCTTTTTAACAAATTTCCCAGCAAAATTTCCATGAAAAATCGAAATCCCTTTTCTTTCTTGTTTCGTTTTCCCCTCGGATTTATCTAAACAAATTTCTTTCAACCCTTTTCATCATAACCAATCTTTCAATCTACAAACACCCACACACCCCCGACCCGATGATGCTTCCCGCCACAGCTTTTTCATCGTCTTCATCTTCATCTGCTAATTCAGCTGTTGTTCGAGTGGATAAGGCCACCAGCGAATTTTTAAACGGTCCTGATTGGACTATCAACATCGATATTTGCGACACCATCAACGCGAATCCTTGGTAATATCTGTATCCATCATCATCGGCTTTCTTTGATTTTTACGCAGAATTTAGTTGACCTTATTTTTATTTGGGGTATGTTGTTCTAGGGTTTTATACTTCTTGTTAATCACTCGTAACTGGAAATTTTGGGAATATTATATGGTTTTTTAATGTTTTTGTTACTTGTATGTCGAGTTCATGCTGTATTAATCCATAACTTTCATTAAAAGCCCAAAAATTTAACCTTCGGATTTTGTTCTAGGGTTTTATACATGTTTCCATGGTTTGCAACTTGAAATAGAGAAGATATTCAGTGTCTATTGATGGTCTTGATTTTCAGAAAATAATACAGAAATCCCCGTTCACAAGACTTTTTATGAATTATTGGTTTGTAATAATCATGCATTATTATTTTAAATAATTAATTTATAAAGCTTCCTTGGCTGTTTTTCTTGTTCTTATTTAAAAAAAAAGCATCTTTGATAAATTTGTGTTACTTTAGCACTAACTATGGCTTATTTGCAACAAATAGAGTTAATCCTGTGTTTTTATTTATTATTTAGTTTGAGTAACAATAAAATCTTACGTTTTTAATTGTTTATAATTTCTAGGCTTGTAAAAGATGTTGTCAAAGCTTTGAAGAAAAGGTTACAACACAAGAACCCCCATGTTCAACTACTTTCCTTGACGGTATTTCGCCTTTTTAATCATTATAATTACAATTTACAAATCTTGAAATGATTGTTTCATCAAAAATGCTAATTTTAGTAGTAATTTATCTGATTTTGGATTGTAGCTTTTAGAGACCATGGTAAAGAATTGTGGTGACAATGTTCATTATCAAATAGCCGAGCGAAATATACTCCCGGAGATGATCAAAATTGTCAAGAAAAAGGTAAATCAAAATGTTCCCAAAGCAAGGAAGTTGAAACCCACGCTCACGGAATTGGAATTCGAGATTCCATTCCATGATGGTGTTTGGCTTCCAAATGGATGGAATTCAATTCCGTCAGAATCCTTCGTATTCCATGTTTGACGGATTTTACTATTCCTAGAGGACGGTGGAAACGGAATCCAATTGTGGTGTTGAATTCCATTCCGTTTCCTGCCAACCAAACGCATGGCAAATTATGATTCCTCCATTTTTTATTTATTTATTATTATTATTTTTTGCAGACGGACATGCGTGTAAGGGAGAAAATTTTGGTACTTTTAGATTCATGGCAAGAAGCATTTGGTGGACGCGGAGGAAAATATCCTCAATATTACTTGGCTTATGATGAATTACGGGTAAGTTTATTATATTTAAAAGCATCATTTTTTAGTGTTTTTGATTTTTTTTAGTTGCATATCGCGATAAAAATAGCAATGGAATACATGAACTTGTTGAAGTCAAAATTCATGAAAAATGAAGAAGTATTTGTTGAATTTTGTAATATCTAATAGCAAAAATAACATGTTGGAATTTACATCCGGTGACAACTAATTTATGTGTAATCAAAATTCCTAAAATGATGAAATAATTACCTATTTTTGGAAAGTGCCCATGTCAAATTTTGTTGATTTGGGTATTCAAGATTTCCTTTTTTTGTCAAGTATCCAAGTTTTAATTACATAATTACCCGTGAAGATCTATTGGTATTGCCATAAGTCCACAAGATTGCTTGTCTTGTTAAGGGCGTTTTAGTCATTTGAGAATTCTTTAATCTTTTTTGGATTATGTTTACGAGGACAGCAAGCGGGAGTACAGTTCCCTCACCGGTCACCTGATGCAGCTCCAATATTTACACCTCCTGTCACCCATCCATCTGTGGGACCCACTCAACCAAATTATGGAATGCCAAGTAATTCTACAACAAGGCTTGATGAAGCCATGGCTTCCGAGATTGAAAACTTAAGGTGTCTTATTGTTTTTTCTTTTAAGTTAAATGCTAAAAACAGCAACATACTTCTATTTATTTGTTTATTATAGCATTCTAATTTCATTTCATCCTATTGCTTCCTTGTGCTTTGTAAAACCTACCCAATTATAGCATTATCATCAAAATACAAATAGTTTCTCACTGCTATAAATGGATAGATTTTTGGTGGATAATGGATTGATTTGAATATTTTTTTATTTTTATTTTTTTAGTATGTCGGTGATTGAGTCTATGAGGAATGTTTCGGATCTTTTATCTGAGATGTTGCAAGAAGTTGATCCAAATGATCGTGCAGTACGTGCATTCTTCTTTTCTTTTTGTCATTACAGACGATAAAGATGCGAAGGGCATTCACGTCTTTTTCCACATACAAGATATCAATAGCGTGTCCCTAATCCCTATCCCAACTTTTTGGATTGTGTCCGGCTCTGACAAGCTTTTTAGGGCTATTTTCAATGATGTAGATGAAAAGGACATTTAAGTCTTTTGCACAAAGACTTGATAGCTACTCCCTAATCCCTATCCCACCTTTTTTGATGGGACAAAAAACTGCAATTTTTTGTCCCAACTGACATCATTCCAAACACAGTACAACCTGTTATGTCCTTGGTGATTCTGACTTGCTTTTTTTATATTAATAGGCAATAAAAGATGAGGTCATCGTTGATGTTGTTGACCGATGTCGTTCAAATCAAAAGAAATTGATGCAAATGTTGGCTTCCACAAGGTACAAAAACCCTAAACCCTAAACCCCAAAACTGTATCATGTGTAGTTGCTTTCGACTCATGATATTATTTTTTTATTTTATTTTAATATTTTTTTTGTGTAGTGATGAGGAGCTTCTTGGTCAAGGTATCGAATTAAATGACAATCTACAAACCGTTCTTGCAAAACATGATGCTATTGCATCCGGTTCTCCAATTCCTGCTCAAGTCACAAGTTCCATCGCCTCACCAAGTAATACCAATAATACCCTTGAGCCCCAAATCAAATCAATTGAAGAAAAAGAAAACTCAAAATCAACCGTGTCCGTGGTGGCACCTCCACCGGTGGTGGCGGTGACGCCACCATCAGGAAATGATGGTGAGGAAGAGGAAGATGAAGATGACTTTGCTTTGTTAGCTAGAAGGTAAATTCTCCTTTTTTTGGATTAAATACATGAAATAGCAACATGCTTCTGTTAAACTTTTTTTCTTTTTCTCCAGGCATTCAAAAGCACAAGTGGGACCCACATCAGATCCTTCATTGAGTATGGCTTTAACCATAACAGATCCACCACCTCCATTAAACACAACAAAAGCCGATGACATGATCGATTTCTTAAGCCTCACGTTATCATCTCCAAATCCACCCTCACCGCCTCCCATCACCACCTCACATGACCAATCACCGCCAGTTTCCACCACCACACAGCAGCAGCAGCAACACTATCCCCACCAACCTCAGCCATCCATGAGCAGTTATGTTGTGCCATGGGCTCAATCCGAACCTCAACATCAACCTCCACCACAACCACCACCGGTTCAGCCTCAATATCAACAGCAAAATCTTTCCCCTGGCGGCTATATCCCGCCACCATGGGCGGCAACACCTGGCTATTACACAAACCCGTATCAGCCTTCTCCGGTGACTTACACGTTTCCAACTCCCTCATATAATAACATCAACAACACGTCTTCACAGCAAGTAAACTTGTATTCTAACAGGGCGGCGGCGGCAGGCGGTGTAAGTGGAGATGGTCAGGCGGCAGCTGGTGGTGGTGGAAGTCAAAGACCGTTTATTCCTTCGTATAGATTATTTGAAGATCTTAATGTACTTGGCAATCCGAACTCAACATCTGGGAGTTCTTCGGGTGAAAGTATGTTGGGTGGGAGGAAGTGAAATCTTTATGAACAGGTTTTGTGTTATTGTTGATACAGTGGGGTTTGTGTATTGGTGATGGGTGTGTATTCGTTTATATTCGATTTCTTGGATTTAGATGAACATAAAAAAAAAAAAAAAAAAAAGAACCCGGTTTTGTGTTTGCATTTCTTGTGGTTTGAGTATATGGTTTTTGTATCTATGGACAAGTTTGATAGATTTAAACTTCATTTTTACTGTGGTGTGGTGGTAAAAAGGTAAGAAGTTAATGACACTCTACCCAAGAATCCTTTAAATCTTCCATGATTTTTTTTTTTAAAGTTTTTATAGGGATACGTTTTAAGGTAGTACAATTTACTTGATAGACACTGATTGCTTTCATGGTGAACTTGATAACTCTAGGCCAACATAATAAATAGAAAAGAAGAATTTCTTGTACGATTAGGTGCATATATAATTGGCGTGCTATTTGATTATCATAACACTATATTTGACCACCATCAAATACTTGTGTTTGAGTAGGTAACACATCGACATTTTTCATTGCCTAATAATTTCAAAGTAAACTACATTATTATTAATGAAACTAAACCTAAGTTATGAGTCCAATATAATTTATAATTAGTCACTTTAATAGATTAGTTTAATTTATGATTAGTCATTTACATTACCTAAATCATTAATTAATTCCAAAATAATACATTTGACTAAGTAACAAATAAAGAATGGTCACAAGGTAGTTGGGATGCAGGATTCTTTCGGTATAAATCTTTCAAAAAAGTATGAGAACCAAGTTGAGAGTGCTATTGGATCTAGTAAATAACAAAGTTGTACTAATTGCATCGAGCACAAATTTATTTTGTTGTAGGATTTGCGTAAAATTTCTCCAAATTTACGTAGTCCAGTTTGTTTTGCTATTTCGTCAAATGGTAATGTATAATCAAAACCGCAACCTTTTATACCAGCACAAGAGCTAGCTTTGGCTCTTGACAATTTTTGCTTCTTTGGAATTATAAGATTGAAGATTTGAAAGTTTGATGGAATTATAGAGAAATTTAGAGAGAAGTCGAGACTGTGGTTGGGATGTATTGGGGTATTTAGCCTTGTGGTATACATGAAACATAGGGGTTTCGTGGTTGACGTGGCAACATCATCACCATCGTCTCGTGTGTTTACAAGTTTTTTATAAATTATTTATAACGTTTCATATTTTTTACTTATGTTTTTACACTTTAACATACTTTTTTTTAATATTTTTTCTTTACAAAACACATTTATAAAAGGATTTACAAAAAACACTCCTAAGTTGTAAACTAAGTTATGGATTCGGTGATTCGGGTTTTTAAAATCCGGTTCGAATTAAACCAATATACAATCCGAGGTGCATTCCTTTTTAAGATGAAAGATATTAACTAATAAATGGTTGTATGTGTCTTTGGCCTGTAGCTTAGTTGGTAAGGTATGGATGAAATTTGAATTGATTGAATAAATGTTTGGATGTTTGAACTAATTTTTAGTTTTATTTTTAATATTAAACTTATTTGATGTTATTTATTATTATAACTATTACTATTAATTCTTACTTTTATATTTTTAAGTTTTTATTTTTATTTTTCTTTGTTTAAAAAAAATACATTTGGTCATTTTTCTTTGTTTTAGATTTAATATCATTTGTTTTTAACTAATTTCTTCTAACTATTTTGTATTTTAATTTTTATAATATCCCAGTTCCATTAATGTTGAAACAATACGACATTTTGGAACGGTTGGTTACCGGTAATTATTTCAAGTTGTTATATAAATAAACACTATGTATTTGAAAGAGCTTAAACACTAGTGTACTAGACGTAACGAAAAAAATGCCTAAGAATGATAATTATTAGGTGCACTCATTTTTTTAATTATAATATTTAAGATTATTCGTTTAACAAATAACTATAAAAACCTTTAAACCAAATAAACAAACAACCACAAACATATAATGATATAAACGAATGACGTGAGCAAAAAAAATGTCAGAAAAACAATATTAAAAAATTGTATTAGATTACCGATATTTATCTTTGTTTTTGTCTTAACCTTTGTATTCGAACAAATGTTACATGATATATTCTAACAAAAACTCAAAAACTCAAAAAGTCGAAAAATATTTTTAAATTAGAAAATTAAAAATAATAATAAATAAAAATATGATTTTATATAATTTAGTGAATTAATTTTAAAAACTTAAAATAATTTCATAAATAATTTATATTAAATTTATTATAATAAAAACACGTAAAAGCCTAATGATCAGAGAGTTTGGTAGTCACAAACTAATTAAGAGAAATTAAATAAACTAGACAAAATTGTAAGAATAATCTCTGTGGTATGTCAAACTATATATGTTTGAACCAAAAAAGTAACACCAGTGGTCCAAAAGTTTCATTTTCTTACGAGTTTGGTCCAATTTGGTTTGAATTTTTTTGTAAAGACGATTTTGCCCTTATTATTTAATTTCTCATTTTTGTTTTATCAAAACAATTAAAAAAAATTAAAATAAAACAAAAATAAATACTTTCTCTCTCTCTCTCTCTCTCTCTCTCTCTCTCTATATATATATATATATATATATATATATATATATATATATATATATATTATATATATATATATATATATATATATACTACTTTATAATACATACGTAAATTGAAACCACCAAATTTTAAGACAATGTCTTAAAAACAAGGAGATAAATTTTGGTCCATTGATTTTATTTGAATGGTGTTGATTATATTAAGTGTGATCCAAGTGAAAAGCTTTAAACCAATCAAAATCCAATACTATTACTATAAAAGGAGTCACCTAATCTCACTGTTCTTTTAAAAACCCTAATTTCCTCCCTCTAACATACTTTCTCTCTAGAAAATCAATTACCACGACATCCGGTTCTTACGAAACTGTCACCATCAGCCGACTTCGATGCCACTGTCAATCATATTCGACACTCCTTTACACCAACAAGAACCATTTGTTGTTTCTGCAGATAAACACCAAATCTGAGTACCACCCTCAGTCCCTCACCAGCGCCGCCAGTAAACAACCTTAGATGTGGAAATATGGAGTTGTTTAAGATCTTTCAGATTCAGAAATCGAGCTATCTTTTGTTTATTTTTTCGTAATTCGGATCATATAATGTAAGATCATTAAGTTTTTGATTTTCGTATTTAGATATGAAAATATGAAATCTTTTCTTTTTTAATTTTTGTTTTTCAGATCTGTAATTGTAGGATATTTAGTGTTTGATTTTCGTGTTTCAGATCTAGACATGGTATATTGTAGTTTTGATTTTTATATTTCATATCTGGAAATGTATAGATAAAGGAAGATGTATCTTATTTTGAAGTGTTTTGAACGTATACAATACTTTGAAGTGTATGATTTGTAGTATCTTTCACCTCTAGAAATATAAAGAAGAATATCGATAGTTCTTTGAAGTTTATGTTAGACATGGAAACGTAATATCTTTTATTTGTTAAATTTTATATTTCATATATGTAATATACATCACAAGGATACCTTAGTTCTGTAAATTCTATTGTGGATGACTTAATTCTGTAAAATTTTTGTTTGCAAAACTTGAGATCACGAAAATGTTAATTGAAACATTAAGAATTCATGTTTATTTAATTTCTTTTACATCAAATCTATTTTGATTGATGATTGACTTTAAAGTTTGGGTTTAGTTTTTTTAGATTTGATGAAGGAGTGTGATTAACTGTCTCAAAAACACTGATGAAAGTTTGAGTTTGGTTATTCAGATATGTTGAAAGAGGCTGACCTCTCATTTCTTTTGGATCTGAACTTTCTTCTACACCATCGGCACACTACCCAACTGTTGACACATAAATCTTGAAGACAGTATGGAGCTTTTTATATTCTGATATGCGTGTCTATCTGAATTATTTTGGTCAATTTCTATTTAATATATTGTAGCTTCTTCCAAATCTGATAAAACCAAAAGAAACAAAGACAATCACGAAAAAGATACCACAACCAACTCCACCTTCACCAAATCCAAATCTTACAATGCTCTTAGATCTGTATGCATGAGTATGTATTAAAAATGTGTGTTTTTAATTACTTGTGTGTATGATTTATTTTGTGTGTTTAATTGTATCTTTTTTTAATGTGTGTGTTTGTTCTGTTGTATTTCTAACGACTTTAGTTGTTTGTTTTGATTTTTAGATCTTGAATTATCAAGTGGGTTGGATAATTTGTGGCCGCCATTTGTAATTTTTCAGTTTTTTTAGTCTTAAGAGTATGATGTAGAATAAGAAAATCATTGACAAATAAAATATTATTAAGAAAATTAAAGTTGAGAAAAAATTACGTAGGTTGTGTTTTTGTATATTAATGATCAAAATTAAAGATGTAAAGTTTCTTAAAAATAAAACTAAGTAATTATGACAATCCTAATATCTTAATAAAAGTATTTAATTATGACCACCAAACTCTAAAAAGGTTTTTTGTTTTTATTTTAGGATAATACGCTTTAACATACGTATTAATACAGTGACCTCTTATTAAACAATTAAATATTGATTATGGGAGATAATACATAAATATATACAGAAAATAAAGAAATGAGGGAAATATGTTTTTCAAGTGATAACAACCGCCGATAACTGTTTTAATATTATACCCAATATAAAATGTTATTTATTTATAGTACATTTTTGTAGATAATCAAAAGTCTTCCGAATAAAGTTTAAGATACCGTAAGAAGTGATAGTCTATACATAAGCAATTGAGTATGTACAAGACATTAGTGTCTTGGAAAACGATATGATAAAACTACAAGTTTGATGCCTATAAAATGATGTGTTCTACGAAAAAAAAACAACAAAAACAAACAATTATAGTTTAAGTATTTTGAATGTTTGACTAA